TTTATTTGAGAGACTGAGAGTGTGAGTTGGGGGAGAGGCAAAGGGAGAGGGACAAGCGGACTGCCTGTTGAGCACAGGGTTCCACACAGGGCTCCACGCCAGGCTCAGTCCTAGGACCCAGAGATCCTGACCTGATTTGAAGTCAGATGCTTAACCAACGGAGAGACCCAGGTGCCCCCGGGTGATGCTTTTAAAAACTAAGCAGATCATCTCCCTCCTCAACTCAAAACCTTCTGAATGCTTCCTGTCATAGACACTGAGTTACTTGTTTTACTCCCTGCTGTAGCTCCAGGACGTATAAGGGGATGTGGCACATATAGGGGGCTCAACAAATATGTATTGAGTGATTATGTGGGAAACTGTATAAAAAGATGCTGCTTCCATAGAAACACAAAGAATGACTAGAAAGCTAGGGTAGAATGAGAGTGAAGCATGTCAAATGAAGGAAAGAAAAGCTTTTGTAAAAAAGTGGATTGTGCAGCTCTGTTGCTCTCACCAAGGATCCCAACAGCAGTCTCCAGGGCTGGGGGATGGTATAGGGGGATTCATTATACCATTCTTTTTACTTTTCATTCTGGAATTTTTCCTAATTAAAAAAGAAAGAAAGAAAGAAAGAAAGAAAGAAAGAAAGAAAGAAAGAAAGAAAGAAAAATGCAAAAATCTTGGGGCCAAGGAGGTAATATATATGTATGAAGGAGATTGTTTAAAACTTATGGTGAGTGGCGGGGGTGGGGGGCAGCGGGGTGCACCTGGGTGGCTCAGACGGTTTAACACCTGCCTTGGGCTCAGGTCATGATCCCGGAGTCTCAGAATCGAGCCCCATGTTGAGCTCCCTGCTCGGTGGGGAGCTTGCTTCTCCCTCTCCTTCTGCTGCTCCCCCTGCTTGTGCTTGCTCTCTCTGTGTCAAATAAATCAATAACATCTTAAAAAAAAAAAAAAAAAAAGAAAGTAGGGAGAGGGATGCCTGGTGGCTCAGCAGTTTGGCGCCAGCATTCAGCCCGGCGTGATCCTGGAGACCCTGCCTGGAGCCAGCTTCTCCCTCTGCCTGTGTCTCTGCCTCTCCCTCTGTGTGTCTCTTGTGAGTAAATAAATAAAATCTTAATAATAATAATAAAGATTAATGGTGGGATCTGGAGTAAATCGGAGACCGCAGACTCTGCACAAGGACATTCAAATCCAGTTTCCGCCCCCCCCCAAACCCTGTTGGGATCTAAATAAAATGAGCCTGAATTCAGCCAATTTGTGACCCTTGGGTGGCACAGGCTAAGTCATAGATCCTAAACAATCCATTCACTCAATTCTGGAAGCGTTTACACGGAAATCCTCAATCATCTAGAAGCCCAACCTCAAGAACACTGAAGAACCCGACTTCTCCCAGGACCTCACTTCCACCCCAGCTGCCGGCTGCGGCGGCTCTACCTGAGGTCGTAGAACAGAGCTCCCAAGTGGCAAGTGCTCCCCGAAGTGACGGTCGCCCCAGGACGAGCCACGTTAGGAGCGGGAACTCTGGAGACTCGTCAGGCGTCCTCCTCCCTGGGCCAGAGGGAGGCGGAGCGGCCCCGGGAAGCCCGGACGCACAGGTGCACGGAGCCGCCAGGTGACGCGCCCCGACTCCCTGGGCCAGGAGGCCGGTTCCGGGGGCCCCCGTGCGCCCCGCCCTTCGTCTGACCGCTCACCTGCGTCCCTAACCGCAGCCTCCCGCAAGGTGGCAGCACAGGTGAGCGCTTCGCCGCTGCGCCAGCCGCACGTGTGCGCACCTGCGGGACCCGGCGGCCGCACCTGCGGGACCGGGGGGCGCGGAGGCGCTGGGGCGCGCAGCCGGGGGGCCCGGGAGTGCAGACGCCCCGGGAGGAGCTCGGATGCAGGGCGCGGGCGTGACCTCAACTACCCCCTCCCTCTCCCGGCCCGCCCGGGCCCCCTGTCGCCCAAACACCCCCCGCCCCGGGGCCCTCCACCCCGGCCCGCACCCCGCGCACGCCTCGCACGGGAGCCGCCCGCCCCCGTGAGCCTCACGCACGGCCAGAGCAGCCCCCCACCCCACCCCCGGGTCTGTCCGGAGCTCCAACACCTTTCCTGTCCTTGCATTTGCAATCCACCAGCGCCTCCGTAACTTCACTTGGTTTTTCTTTTTTTTTTATTTTTAAAAATTTCTATTTATTTATTCATAGAGACACAGAGAGAGACAGAGAGAGAGAGGCAGAGACACAGGCAGAGGGAGAAGCAGGCACCATGCAGGGAGCCCGACGTGGGACTCGATCCCGGGTCTCCAGGATCAGGCCCGGGGCCTAAGACAGCGCTAAACGGCTGCGCCACCTGGGCTGCCCTTCATTTGCTTTTTAAAAAGATTGTCTTTATTTATTCACGACAGACACACACACACACAGAGAGAGAGAGAGAGAGAGAGAGAGAGAGAGAGAGAGAGGCAGAGACACAGGCAGAGGGAGAAGCAGGTGGATGCGGGGAGCCCCCCGCGGGACTCGATCCCCGGACCCGGGTCCCGCCCTGGGCCTCTGTCTGCGGCCTAGGCGCCCCTCATTTGCTTTCTTTGGGGTCTTGCAACCTTTACCAAGTATTAGGGTCACCTGGGGAGACGCGGCTGGGGCTGAGGAGCCCCGTGCTGGAGACACCGCAGCAGCGGGCAGGAAGCCACCTGCAGCCCCGAGCGCCCCGCCCGTCCCGAGGAGCCTCCTCGCGGAGGGCATGGGGCGCCGGCTCCGCGGGCTCTGCTCGCCCCAGGCCTCCTGAAACGCCGGCCTTGCACCGCCCCCCCCTCAACACACACGCTCAGGGAGACTGAAAGGGTGCAAGAAAGAGCCGTTGCTCTGCGCACCCGTTCATATCTATGGGCAATGCTCTTACCAAATGCATGCCACTGGGGAAAGCTATAAATATAGAATAAAAATTAATTTATATGGGGTATTTGGGTGGCTCAGTAGTTGAGCGCCTGCCTTTGGCTCTGGCGGTGATCCTGAGATCTTGGGATCGAGTCCCGCACCAGGCTCCTCGCAGGGAGTCTGCTTCTTCCTCTGCCTGTGTCTCTGTGTATCTCTCTGTATGTTTCTCATTAATAAATAAATAAAATCTTTTCTAAAAAAAGAATTAATTTATCTGATGGCATAGTGGCTGAGACTCTAGTTGCAAGTAACAGAAATCTTGAGCTGTAGCAGTGGAACGGTTGTGAGTTTCTGGTGGAGAGCTCACCCTGGCCCTCAAATTGGCATAATGATGCAGGGATCACAGCAGGGTTAGTGCTGTATTTAGAAAAGTTGTGGGGGGGTTCACCTGGGCGACACAATCGGTTAAGCAGCTGACTTTTGGGTTCAGTGCAGGCCATAGTCTCGGGGTGGCAGGACTAAGTCCTGAATCTGCCTCCTCGTTCAGCAGGGAGTCTGCTCGAGGACTCTCCCATCCCACTGCCCCTTCCCCTGTTCTCTCTCTAACACAAATAAAGGAGTCGTAAAGAAAAAGAAAAATTAGGAGGGGAACCTGGTTTGTTCAGTCAGTGGAACATGCTACTCTTTTTTTTTTTTAATTTTTATTTATTTATGATAGTCACACACACAGAGAGAGAGAGAGAGAGGCAGAGACACAGGCAGAGGGAGAAGCAGGCTCCATGCACCGGGAGCCCGATGTGGGACTCAATCCCGGGTGTCCAGGATCGCGCCCTGGGCCAAAGTCAGGCGCCAAACTGCTGCGCCACCCAGGGATCCCCGCAACTCTTGATCTTGAAGTTGTGGGTTCAAGTCCCACATTGGCCTTAAAGATTACTTAAAAATATGAAATCTTAGTGCTCACTTCACCAGCATATATACTAAAATTGGAACGATACAGAGATTAGCATGGCCCCCACGCAAGGATGACACACAAATTCGTGAAGCGTCCCATATTTTTGGAATATAAGAAACAGTGAAAGGGATTATAAGAGAAAGGAGAGGAACTGAGTGGGAAAAATTAGAGACAGAGACAAACCATGGGAGACTCCTAACTCTGGGAAACAAAGGGTTGTGGAAGGGGAGGCAGGTGGGGGGATGGGTAACTGGGTGACAGGCACTGAGGGGGGCACTTGATGGGATGAGCACTGGGTGTTATATGTTGGCAAATTAAATTTAAATTTAAAAATGAGGCCATCCCCAGGGGCTCAGCGGTTTAGCACCGCCTTCGAACCCAGGACATGATCCTGGAGATCCGGATCAAGTCCCACGTCGGGTTCCCTACGTGGAGCCTGCTTCTCCCTCTGCCTGTGTCTCTGCCTTTTTCTCTGTGTCTCTTATGAATAAATAAATAAAATCTTTAAAATAAATAAGTTTAAAAATTAAATCTTAAAAATAAAAAAGAGGAAATTCTCAGGGCTGAAATAAAAAAGGAACAATTGCTAACTATAGACACCCCTCCCAATATTCACAGGAGCCAGAGAAACTAGACTGTTTTGTGGGGTTCTATCATGAAAAGACCTAAAAAGAGAACTTCTCCTTTTAGGCAGAAAAACAAAGTTTGATAAAAAGAATCTGGTGTTTGGTTTGGCCTCTTCTCCAAAGCTGAGGGGAGGGGAACTCCAGGAAACCACTCCAAGTTGGTAGGATTCTGAGAGAAAGAGAAACCTTACCTTTCAGGCCTAGGTTGTGTGACTGGCCTTGCCAGCCTATCTTAAGCTACCAGCAGGGGAGTGAGCATTGAGGCCAAAGATGTGGTGATATAATCAGGAGAGGAGCCAATGAACACCCCTCAAATTCTCAGTTCCTCAGAGGTGTGGAGAATGAGCCTGCTCACCTTCTCCTAGACTCCAGATTTAAACCACAGAAGGTGTGTGAGATTGGAGGCTTCAGGTTTGTCAAGGACCATCATGACATGTACCAGAGGAATGTGGTAGGAGGCTTCAGGTCTGGAGTCACCAGATCTCTCAAAGGCCTTCCTCTGGTATCAGCTGGCCTCACATCCCTGAAGAGTCTCCACCCATGTCTCTCAGCAACAATGAACTTCAAGAGGAGTGCAGAGTACTTCACCTGAGGAGACATGTCTTCTTGTTCTCTCTTCCTTCTTCCCATGCTAGAGGGGCCAGGTCACCGTGGAAGGAGGGCTTTTGTGAGAGAAGAATACACTCCCCCATCACTCATATGCACAAACAAGATCACACATAAGTCACTGGGGCCGTAAGACTTCGTGTGCTGAAAAGGAGGAAAGAGCTTTGGATCACACTTGGGGTTTTAAAATGAGTCAGGATTTGTGGAGAGGAAATCTGATTGGCAGTCTGGATTAGATGTTCTGTCCTGGTTCAATCAACCATGTCTGGCGGTGAGTCATCTTATACACTAATGGCTATTGGGTAGCCTTCCTGTAAGTGAGGGAGTAGCTTAAAGACAGGCAGACATATGGTGCGCATAGCTGACCCCCCAAAGCTTGTCCTCCAAGGGGATGGCTTCTCCTTCTGACTGGAAGCTGGGAAACATGAGAATTCTGAGCTTCTGAGCAGCCAAGGGTGACTGCAGGTAGGGAGGAGGGAATGAGGAAGCAGGAGAGAAAAAGAAGCCAAAAGATGCACCCTCCCTACCTAGATACAGCAGGCCCTACACCCAGCCTTCAGCCAGCTTATTCTTTCCGTTAAAGTTTTCTTCCTGCAACATCCCCATTTTTCACTGCAGGTTCCACGGTTCATTACTTATTTATTTATATGGCCCCACAGAAATCATCTCCCACTAATATATTACCAGAACAACAAAGTATTGTATTACAAACTAGATGGGAAAAGAAAAACCACAGGGACAATGAAAGGATCATTGAGAAGATTAGAAAAACTAAAAATGATTGCTAAGACACTCATAAAACAAAACATGAAAAAAAAAGTACAAATATCTTAAGGGTACAGGACAAGAACCCGGGACTCTGGTGCATCTTATGCCTGGAGGATGAGGGTGATACTCAGCACCCCCATGAACATATGTGTTATTAGAGAAAAGTGTTTCCAGGTGACTGCCCTGGGGTATTCACCTGTCGGAAGTGTATGACTGTCAGGATGAATCAGAGCTGTGTAAATTACCCAGTGAGTACATTGTAGGCGCAAATATGTTTTAGAGAGAAAGACGGTAGCCCTGGATTTGTGGGCAGGAGTAGGCGTGCAGAGAATGAAAAACAGAGCTAGGGAGGAGAACAAAACAAATTCCTAATTCTTCTCTTCCAACTGCTTGCACAATTCAGTAGCCAGGCTTTAAGTTTTCAAATAGGACACGAGATGGGGAGTACCAACATCACCTCAAGTCCTAACGTAACCTAACGAATAGTTTTAAATTCGTGCTGTAGTCAAAAGGCAGTGTGATTCGAAATAATGATATTTATTTTAAGGGAAACTTTAAAATATATTTCCTCATGCATACTCAGGACTGGATTCATGGAGCCAGGTGGAGTGATCAAAGAGAAGCCTGCTGTCTAGTTCCTAGGCTTTACTTACGTTTCCAAATTTTAATCACCCAAGACCCTTTTGAATGGCCAAGAGCGGGAAGTAAGATCCAGGTCAATGTAAAAAGCATATTGAAGTCACCAAAGCTGAAGCCATATGTGTCCTGGGATATGGGCTCCCCGCAGTGGGCTCTACAGGCGCCCACCCCAGCCTCCCTGGCCCGGGCTGGACAAGCAAAGTGGTGGGAGTAGAGGCGGGGAGAGGGGGGCAAACAGAAAGGGATCCTTAGGAAGCCCCCAGAGGCCTGGAACTTGGACCATGCACCTCGGAAAGGGGAGAATTGCCCCCCAGGGCCGCTAGACCAGCTTCAGTGGGCACAAGACAAACGCTCCCTGGTAATATGCCGCCCACGGTCTTCTAAAACTCTCCGCTCAACAGGACACAGTAGCATGAGTTCCCCACTTGCACCTGAGAAGTCTCAATAGCATGAAATGTGTTCCCCACCTGACCCATATAGTTCTGGGAAACTTTTGGATTTCCTGCAACTATTTTGTATACTTTTTTTTTTAAAGATTCTGTTCATCTATTCATGAGACACACAGAAAGAGGCAGAGACACAGGCAGAGGGATAAGCAGGCTCCTCACAGGGAGCCCCAAGTGGGACTTGATCCAGGACCCCAAGATCATGCTCTGAGCCCAAGGCAGATACCCAACCATTGAGCCACCCAGGTGTCCCTATTTTGTATAATTTTAAAAGAGCCTACAATCATTCTTACCCCATCATTTTCTGGTTAAAAAAAAATGATGGGTGAATGTTTGAAAACCTATAAGGCTAACTATAGGTAAGACTTACACCTTCATTGAACAGCAGGGGGCAGAAATAAAAGTTATTTAGCATCAGAGTAGACTGAATATCTTAAATAAAACCGTACATTTGATAATAACCTATTCTGCTCACAATGTAATTCCTTTGTTTACAGATAGTGTGGCATGGGGACGCCCAGGGCGGGGGGGGGGGGGGGCCTCAGGGTTGAGAGTGCCTGCCTTCGGCCCAGGGTGTGACCCCGGAGTCCGGGATCGAGTCCCACATCGGGCTCCCTGCATGGAGCCTGCTTCTCCCTCTGCCTGTGTCTCTGCCTCTCTCTCTCTCTCTCTCTCTCTCTCTCTCTCTTTCATGAATAAATAAATAAAATATTTTTAAAAAAAAATTTTAAAAACCCGGATAGAGTGGAATATTAAAGTGTTTGTTGTTATGTGTCCATTCATTTGTGGACTCAATAGCATTTATTGCCTGTCTTCCCCTGTGTGCAGGTATCATGCCAGGAGCTGGAGTGGAGGGAGGAATAAAAACAATGTTGATAATAATAACAAAGTGGGAAGTCAGCATTTTCTGAGTGGTTATTACTTGACTATCTCCTCCAGCCCTACAGTAATACTAGGAATTACTTTGTGTTTCCATTTTCAAGAAGAGGAAACTGAGGCTTGCCTAAAGCCCCCCTAAACCAAAAGAATGGAGCTAAGTCAGAGGTGGCCCTAGCATCAGCTGCTCTTAATCACCCTGTGCATGCCTCTCTGCAATAAGCTAATTAGTTTAAGAATTAATTTCAAAATCTCTAGCAACCAGTACATTCTTGGCACATGGTAGGCTCTTAATAAATATTTGCTAAGTGAATTGAAACTGCATCACTGAATGCTGGATTTGTATTTTAATTTCAACCTATTTTTCTAAAAGAGTGTGTTTCTTACCCTGGTGAATGTGATTGTAAATTATCATCATCTGACCAATTGCCTTTAAAAATTGTTGGTCACCCTTGATATTCTCACTACAGTTTGTCAAGTGTAAAGCTCCTAGATAAATAATAGATCCGGAGAAGAAGTTGCATATTCTAGAAGTTGATACAGTATACTTCCAGAGCGTAATGTGCTTTTCCTTCTCTACAGTTTATTCATATTTTAGTCTTGACTGCAATTGCTGGAACTTTCTCAGCTAATTATAATTGAATTTTTTTTAAGAAAACCATTAATTTGGGGGGACCTACATGGCTCAGTGATTGAGCATCTGCCTGTGGCTCAGGGAGTGATCCTGGGGTCTGGGGATCGAGTCATGCATGGGGCTCCCTGTGAGGAGCCTGCTTCTCCCTCTGCCTGTGTCTCTGCCTCTCTCTGTGTCTCCCATGAATAAATTAGTAAAATCTTAAAAAAAAAAAAAGAAAGAAGGAAGGAAGGAAGGAAGGAAGAAGGAAGGAAGGAAGGAAGAAGGAAGGAAGGAAGGAAGAAGAAGAAAGAAAGAAAGAAAGAAAGAAAGAAAGAAAGAAAGAAAGAAAGAAAGAAAGAAAGAAAAAGAAAAGAAAACCATTAATTGCTAGAAGAGTGAAGGACTAGGGAAGGTGTGTGAGAGGGGGACATCTGGTTCTGAAATGGGTTCAGAACACATGGTCTTCCAACAGCAATGTGACTCTGTGACCTCCCATTTTGGTACGCACAGAGGTCATTTTAAGGACATCCATTTCAGATCCTCAACTTGCATTTGAAAGGACTGTTTCCTGCCATTAGTCTGCCTGAAAATATACCTCTGGTCCAGGTGTTTGTAGGTTCTCCTTACCACCTCTCCTTTAATAACTACTACCCATCAAAAAATTTTTCAAACTGTACCTGTCACTCATCCCAAATCTATCTTTGGCTTTTCATTGTAAAACCCAAGATTGTACAAAAATGTGAAAATCCTGAAACACCAAACAGAGAGATTCCTAAATCCTGGTGTTGAGAAAGTGAATGACTTTAATGATTGATTGCATAATCTTTTGGCAAGTCAGATAGTTCTTCATTCTTTGTTATCAATATAAAAGCAGGACATGTTAGCTGAGAGTGCATTAAGAATAATTCTTGATGATATGTTATCATAAAGTTTATGGTAAAACTTGCAAGGAGTTCAGAGAACTGAGTGATAGTGCTGTAATGGAACATTCTTCACCATCTGCTTATTTATGTGAATAAGGTTTCTCAGAACTTACAACTATAAAACAACAGATAGGCATACAATCGATGCTAACCTCTGTAATTCTAGCCGTAAATAATATTCAAACATGGATATATAAACTTATTGAAAAATTAGTTCCAGCCATCTGATTATGAAATGCATTTCTAACAAAATTTTACTTTTCATGATTACATATCAAAATTTGTCATATATTCATATTTTTAATCCATGCATTAATAATACTTATAATAACTCAATCCAGAGAATTTTTTAATACTTTGAGCCTATGATCGCAAAAACCTTAAATATTTAAATTTAAATGTACATACATATTTTTGTTGTAGAAAAGTTTGGTGGGCCTATCCATAGAAGACTTTAGGCCATAAAAATATTTGACAGTAAAAGGAGGAGAAGGAGTAGAATGAAAACACAGATTTTCGGGAGAAAAATGAATACCACATTTTTCTGCTATTAAAGAAGAGTTCATTCATGTATTTTTAAAATGGATGAAGGCAGGAATCGAATTGATTTGGTATTTTGCTTCTAATTAATCCAATTAAATGTTAATTGACACTGTTAGGAATTACAGCCTTTGCAAATATTTAAATTTATTATTTTTAAAAATTAATAACTTTAAAATGTGTGAGGGTGTCACTTCTTTGGTTTTGTTTTTAAATGATTAGATGGGGCTGAGGGAATAAGAAAGTTTGAAAGCTGCTCTATCAAATATAGGAGGTCCACACAAATTCTAAACTCTCATCCTGTGGCTTTACTATTTCAAAACTTCTAGTCAAAGA